AGCCACCCCGGCCAGGGTGCTCATTTCTTATAAAGTCACACGTGCACTTACCCTATAACCCCGCAATCCCATTTCTAGGTATGACTTGGGAAATATGAAGACTGCAGTTCATACACCAACCAGGATGCGCATGCTTATAGAAGCTCCATTCAAAATCACCCCGAACTGGAAACAACTCAAGTGTCATCAATAGGTGAATGATAAACAAATGGGGGTCTATCCATACAATAGAATCCTACTCACTAATAAAGAAGAATGAACTGCTGATACAGCAACGACATGGATCGATCTAAATTCACGATGCTAAGAGAAAGAATCCCATTCTGAAAGTTACATACTATACGACTCCGTTCATATGACATTCTGGAAAAGGTAAAACTTTATTAATGTAGAACACGTTGCCAGGGGTTGGGGCGGGGGAAGGGTTTGACTACAAAGGGGCAACTTGAGGGATTTTTTTTGTGATAAAATTGTTTTCCATCATGATCTATGCATGTGTTAAAAATCATACACTTGCCTAGCTGGTGTGGTTCAGTGGTTGAGTGTCAGCCCATGAAGCAGGAGATCATGGTTCAATTCCCAGTCAGGGCACATGCCCAGGTTTTGGGCTCAATCCCTAGTAGGGGTATGCAGGAGGTGGCCCACCATGAGTCTCTCTCATCATTGATCTTTCTAACTCTCTCTCTCGCTCTCCCTTCCTCTCTCTGAAATCAATTAAAAAAACATTTTTTTAAAAAAATCATACACTTATACACCCAAAACAGTAAATATCTACATATGTACACTACATGTAAATTTTTAAAAATTTAGTATCAGTTTGAAGAATAAAAAAAAATCCAGCTCAGCCGATGTGGCTCAGTAGTTGAGTACCTACCTATAAACCAGGAGGTCGGGGTTCGATTCCTGAGGCACATGCCTGAGTTGTGGGCTCGGTCCCCAGTGTGGGGCGTGCAGGAGGCAGCCGATTGGTGACTCTCTCATCAGTGACGTTTCTATCTCTCTCTCCCTCTCCATTCCTCTCTGAAATCAATAAAAATATATTTTTAAAAAATCCCCAGGGACAAGGCAGTCACCAGAGGTGGCACCCTCACCCACCGTCTTATCTGTAGTGGCCAGTGCCTGTCCCCTCTCTAGTCAATCCATACAACAATCCTGGGTGGTTCACTAAAGCAAGCTCCACGTCCGGCTGATGCTCAGATGATGTCACAGGTTTGAACAGCCCCCCAAACAATTTGACCATCTAGTTTGACCTCAATATCATCTCCATGATGGCAATTGATTTTGTCTAGTTTACCAAGACATCCCCAAGGGCCTAGAACAATGCTCACACAGGGTGGGGCAAAAGTAGGAGTTTATTCTTGTATTATCTATTAATTTTGGCACTTAATATTCCTGCTCACGTGTTGGCTCTGCCCCTCCTCTGGCCCAGGGCTCTGCTGAGCTCTCAGGTGAGAATTCCTCCTTCTCCCTCCTGATGCATCCATTATGGCCCCTCAGCCAGAGCCCCAGGGGAAGCAGCCCTGGCCGCATCACAAAAAACGGGGGCCAACATGGGGCTGCCACCCTCCTCAAGCAGGAAGTGCCAGTGGGCCACATGGACGGAGAAACCACCTCGGGCTCTCCAGGTGCCGTTCCCACACCTGGACAGAGTGTGTGTTTGTCTGCCAGGACGTATTTTTAGTTCGATCTCACTCAATCAAAATGTCTGCGTGTTCCTTTTCCCGCTATTTCACTTGACCCTCCCTCGTTCCTGTGGGAAGTTCAGCCATCCTGTTGTAATCAAGCCCTCTGCTCTGGTTGGAATCCTGGGGGTTTCTGCCTGTTTCCCTCCAGGCTGGTGGAAACTGAAGGCTCTTTGTGACCTAACAGCGGTGATTTCCTCTGTCCTTCACACCCGGCAGGGGGCAGGGGGCAGGGGGCAGGGGCCCTCCTCCGCAGGAAATCATTATGCACATCACACAGGTGGCCATGGAAGACTCCTGACGTTCTGTATCACCGTCTTAGGTACAAACAATATCCAGGCAAGTAGATTACAAGTAAACAGCACAGGTACAGAAGTGCTCTCCAGCCTCACCAGAAGCCTGGTTCCTTTACCCTGCCTCACCCCATCCCCACTGCACCCGGAGAAGGGTTTCTCGGTTCCCAGGCAGAGAGAGCACGGGGGATGTACACCCAAAAGTCGCCAGAAGGCAGCCCTGTGCTGGGACTCAAGTCTTA